ACCAGGTTATCATAATGTGACTCTAAAAGGGGTGTGAACAGACCCTCGTGAGAGCCGAGGAAGAGCTCAGGAAGCTGCAGAGCAGTGGCAGTGGTTGGAGTCTGGACCGAAGGGCAGGCAGGGCTTCGCCTGGCAGGGGAGGCGGGAGGAGGGGTGCTGCGGGCGGAGGGACCCTGTGCAGTGCTGGCTGTGAGAGGCCTCGGCGTGTTTAGGAAGTGGTAAGTGCTGGTGCGGTTAGAGAGCCTGGGCGTGGGGGGGAACAGACCAAAACGGTATCGTGTGTGCGGCCCGCTTAAGGTGCCCTGGAGGAGAGGGTTAGAGGGAATATACCGTGTGTTCTTCGTCCCCTTTTCCTGCCTTTTTTTGGGTTGTATATTTTTATGATTCTATTTGGGTCTTTGTGTATCTTTCACGTCTGCATTTAACATGTCTAATCTTTCCTCTAGGTTTTTCAAGGTATGGAAAACAGTAACAACTGTTTAAATGACTTTATCTACTAGTCTGTCATCCGAGTCAGTTCTGGGTCCGTTTCGATGGATTTTTCTCTTCATTATAGTTCCTGCTTTCCTGCTTGCTTGCATGCCTGGTAATTTCTGATTGGATGCCAAGACACTGAATTTATGTTGTTGGATGCTGGGTATTTTTGTATTTCTATAAATATTCTTGACCTTTGTTCTGGGATGGGGTTAAATTACTTGGAAACAGTTTGATTCGGGTGGGTCTTACTTCTAAGCTTTGTTAGGTGGGGCCAGAGTAAGGTTTAGTCTAGGGCTAATTTTGCCCTGACCTGAGGCAAAAGTCTTCTGAGTACTTTGTCCAATTCCCTGAGAATTAGGAGGTTTTCCACTGTGACTGCGTGTGTGACTGTCCCTGACTCCATGCGAACTCCGAAGATTGTTAGTGTTAACTCTTTCTAGCGATGTGTTGCCTGGCTGGGTTGTCCGCCTCGCACTTGGGGCGCCAGTCAGGACCTGGCTGGAGCGTGCGCCCCTCTGTGCTGCCCTGTGTTCTGCAGTGTTCTGCCTGTGAAGGCAGCACCTTGGCCTCAGGACCCTGGGGGACTCCAGGGCTCCGCTGCTGTGGCCTAGGACTGCTGTCCAGGCAGAAAGCTGGGCAGGGAAAGGGCCCCTCCTGTGTGCTTCTGTCAGGGACCACTGCTCTTCATTGCCCGGTATCCTCAGTCCTGAAAACCGTTTTAGATGTTTTACCCTTTTGTCCTTATCTTTTTTTTTTTAGTTGTTGCAAGTGGGAAGGTAAATCTCTCTGTTAATTTCATCTTGGCCAGAAGCAAAAGGGTCAAAAACAGGTTTTAGAATGAAGCTATAATAAAGTGGCCTTTAAAATCATGGGACCTATGAGGATGTTGACCCCCTCTCTGGTTGGGTTGGCCAGGAGGCCAGAGGTGGCCTTTGCCTGGGTGGCCATCAGGGCATTCTTGTGTTTAGGGAAGGACACAGGGACAGGGCTTGGGAGGAGGGCTTCATGGGAAAATCCTCATAGGAATGAGATCCTGAGGGCATGGTGAGCGGACAGACCTGTGACGACAGTCTGGGCTGGAGAACACAGGTGACAGGAGGCTTGTGCGCTTGTCACACAGGTGACAGTGGGAAGGTATGGGGGGGTGACAGTGCTCAGGATGCGAGCCCGTTGCTCAGAAGGTACGCTCATTCCCTGGCTGCATGTCCCTCCTGATGTCCTGGCTGTTTGGGGCATAGGTCCCCATTTGTCCTGCAGTTCCTGCTGAGTCAAATTTGTACTTTATTTTGTTTTCAAGATTTTATTTACGTATCTTTTAGAGGGGAAGGGCAGGAGAGAGGGAGAGAAATATCAATGTATGGTTGCCTTTTGTGCGTCCCCTGCTGGGAACTGGCCTGCAGGGAACCGGCCTGCAACTCAGGCATGTGCCCTGACTGGGAATCGAACCATGATCCTTTGTTTCGCAGGCCCACGCTCAATCCACTGAGCTACACCAGCCAGGGCTCTTTTTTCTTTCTTTCTTTTTTTTTTTTTTTAAAGAAAGATTTTATTTATTTATTTTTAGAGAGAGGGAAGGGAGGGAGAAAGAGAGGGAGAGAAACATCAGTGTGCAAGAGATACAGTGATCCATTACCTCTCACGTGCCCTCATCTGGGGACCTGGCCTGCAACCCAAGCGTGCACCCTCCCTGGGAGTCAAACCCGCGACCTTCTGGTTCACTGGCTGGTACTCAGTTCACTGAGACTAGAAATACTTTCTTATTTTGAAAACTTTGTATAAAGTGCTGAAAAGCCAGTTTTGTTGAATTATTTACCTTAATAATTTGAATTATGAAATGTTAGACGTAAGATTTACCTATTTTAGAAGACAACGTTGGCTCATTTCTGGCTTACTAGCGCAACTTCGATTGCCTTTTTTTTGCTTGATTTTTATGTGAAATTTAAAAACACGCAAATGTACACCTGAAAGCTGTGTGATTTTTTATTGACCAGTGTCACCCCAATTCATTCAATTAAAGACACACAGACATGGAGAATGTGCTACAGTGACCAGCGCACTTGTCACGTGGCTGCAGCCATGACCGACCTTTTGCCATTTCTTCTTCATCTGTCCCTTTCTCTCTGACACGCAAACTTTGTTTGGTTCTTGTTTTTTGAAGTATTTAAAAAGCAAATCCCAGAAATGATGTCACTTCATCATGAATATTTCACTTTTTCTAATAAGGGCAGTTTTTATTTTTGAAGGTATGGCTACCATCTCATTATTCAGCTAAGGGAAATGCATGGTGATTCCTTAACATCATCTAATACCATTCCATATTCATATTTCCCCAGTAGCTTCAAAAATATCCTTCTCCATTTGGTTTCTTCTGATTGGATGCAAAATGGTGTAAATACTAGTTTTGGGGATCGCCTCATGCTCTAGAACAGTACTCCTCACGGTTGCTGGAGTCTGACTGTCAGAGGCAAAGTCATGACCTGCAGATGCACAGTGCATGGCCCCGGGTTCCACATGGTTCTGCTTCTGAGTCAGTCACTCACCTCAGTGCTGGTCACTGGACTTGGAAATGGTGTTCAGAGATGGTGTGGTGGAGGACCTGTCACCTTGGGACCAGGAATGTATGTTTCTATTTTTGAAAAAAAATTGATTTTAGAGAGAGAGAAAAACATTGATTTGTTGTTCTACTTACTCATGTACTCACTGGTTGCTTCCTATACGTGCCCTGACTAGGGATCGAACCCATGGCCTTGACATGTCAGGACGATGCTCTAACCCATTGAGGTGCCTGGCCAGGGCAGGAACATGTGTTTCTGAAGGTGACAGTGTAAAGTCGTGAAGCAGGACAGTTGCGTAGAGATCCCTCCCGCGTCCGTGATGTCCATGCGTGCCAGCCCAAGCGCGGAGCTGGTCACCCAGACAGGGCGATGGTGTCTGTCGTCGGTGCCAGGCCCTCTGCAGCGAGAAGTGGCAAGAGGACGAGAAACCTTTGTGGCTCCTTGTCCTGCAGTGTTCTGATAATTTACACTATAAAGATACTGACTTTTGTTTTCCTTTTTCGTACCATTTTGGTAGTTTACTTTACAATAGCAGACTTTAAAAGAACATTTTCTCTTTTATTTTCCAGGTGAAGAGATTATAAATCTACTGAATGAAAATTTTTTTCTTAAAGTTGCATATACTCCAAGAAAAAACGCCAAATGTTTTTATATTTTGCCTGAATACAAAATTTAAATAAGTTTCCACAGAAGGTAAGATGATTTTCCTTTTTGATTGTATTCCCTTGTACAAATGTATGGTGTAAGGGGGAGTTCAAAGACGGGGGCGAGCGGAGATTCGGTTTTGAGAGTGCAGTCTGTTGTCTTCTGGGTGTGTTTTGATCCTTCTGATTCTGGTTTTGAGATGCTGTGTTGTGGAAAAGTTACTTGGCCTCTCCAAGCCAAAGTGCGACCCAGATTAAATGGGTACAGCCACGCATGAAGTACCACCGTATGTGTGTTGTGGGAGGCAGCCGTGTGCTTAGCGAGGTATTGTCGCATATGTGTAGCGGGGTACAGGGAGGCTCACGTGGGCCAGAGCCTTCCACTGTCGTGGTGCCCTGCGGAACACACTGTCTTTGTAGATGAGAAAGGGAGGGAGAGGCTCGTGTGTCCGGCAGGCGAGGTGCTCCCGAAAAGCTCTCACATTGCACTCCAATTAGATGCTGGATGAATGACAGTAAATGTAGTTTCGTGTGATCACTTTGGTGCATTAAAAACTCAGATACTGCTTTACAGGCCAAAAGAGACAAGGAAAAAGGATCAGTGAACACCACAACGACCTTCCCTTTCCCCTTGCTGAAGAAAACCATAAACCCTCTTCGGGGGGAGCACAGGCAGTGTAGGCCCTTGAGATTTCATAGCCGACACGTCAGCAAACTTGGACTCACCATCAGAAAACACACGCACCGCTGCAGGAAAGAGCCAGGCAACTTAGATGCCCTGAAGCCTGCAGGTACTGCGTAAGCAGATGCGGTGGTTATAATAATATATGAAATGTTTGAAGAACTACCTAGAGAATAAAAGTTAGTAATGCAAAGTGAAGTATCACAGTGACCCAAGTAGAACGTTCAGAAGTGAAAAAGAGTTGAAATTAAAAACTCAGCGTATGCGGATTAGATAAACGTGCTGCAGACGAGTGCGAACTGGAGTGCGCGTCTGAAGTCGCCCAGTGCACAGCTCGGAGAGGCCAGGGGTGCAAAGTGAGAGGAAGAGAACGTGGAGGGTGGAGAAAAAGGTGAGGGGGCGTGTCACTGGAATCCCAGGAGGGAAATGCGCTGTGCTCCCAGCAGTGTCAGTAAGAAACACCCTCCGTGCCCTGGACCCGTGCAGCACGAAAGACAGTGGCCTCCGTCCGGGCGGTGCTGAGATACCACCTGCAAAGGCACACCTGGCAGGTGGACTGCCGACGTCTCATTAGCAGGAGTGGAGGCCAACTGAACGTGGAATGATTCTTCAAAGACCGATTCTTGGAGTATATGAGAGAATATAAATGTCAGTGTACAGAATTGTGTATCAAGTATATTTTGCAAGAAAAACAGCAATGTCTTATGTTTTTGATAAATGTTAGGCTAGGTTATGTGCACTGTCCTCTGTCTTTCCAGCCCTATCCTGTGGAAAGCAACTAAAATGGTTGGGTTCCAAAAAGAAAAGAAAAGAAGAAATTAAAGAACTGACAATATAGCAAGGAAGTCCTACACCAAAATATCACGAAAAGTGGGAACCCAGAAAGTCACTTTAAGCGCAGATGCAAAACTTTAGGCGCAGTGGGATGGAATCTGACTTTGCCCTGAGGGCATTCGATCATCTGGACCAAGCAGGACTTTGACTGCAGAGGCCTGTTGGGTGTGACCCGGAGCAGACGTCTGCAGTCCCGTCCTGGTGAGAGCCTAAGGGAAACCGTCCCTGTGCCAGCCGGGCACCGAAGGTCGTCTGCATCCTCGGAATTAGGTGAACTAGAGGCGTGCCAGCCTCACTCCACCCCTGCTCCCACCTGGTTCTTTTTACTAATGTAGCAGGAGAGCAGTGGGAAAGCAGGGAAAATCTTGGGGCTCTGGGTTGGCCTTTGTGAGGATCTGCAGTCTAGGTTTATACTGCCTGGCAGTTCAGGAATTTAGTTTTCTGGTTTCTTAATGCCTTCAGAGATACTACAGACAAAACCTCTCTGGAGGAAGTTACCGTCGTCCTAAGATGCAAAATATCCGTACAGGTGTTTAGGGTATTGATTAGTACACAGACAATATTGAGCAAGCGCACAAGGAGATAAGGCACCAGGAGTGAAAACCAGTAGACACAGATCCTATAGGAAGCTATGAAAGGTGATCTGTAGTATTCGAAAAAGAATTGTCTAAAAATGAAGAGTATTATATAAGGTAGGGCAAAAGTAGGGTTACAACTGTGAGTATGCAGAGCAGGTTATTCTTGTATTATTATTTATTAATTGTATCCTCTTCCATATAAACATCTGCAAACTCATTTTCACCCCACCCTAAATGTGGGTTTGCTCTTGAATCATTTACAGCGCAGAGGAAATCAGCCAGAAAATGGGAAGTCCCGGGATGAAGCCTGGAGAAGAGGGGGGACAGAGCAGAGGGGGGCGGTGTGGAGGGAGGGGGGAGGGTCTCTACAGTGTGTTTAATTAGTGTTTTATGGGGAGATGTGAGGACGGGGCAGATTTATTATTTGAGAAGATAAAAGCTAAAGATTTTTAAGAATTGGTGAAAAGACCAGCCTGCAGATTCCAAGAGACAAATGAACCATAAGCAGGGTAAATAAAAAGATAGTTTACAGCGAGGCCAGAGAGAGTAACCCTGCAGAGCACCAAAGACAAAGACCGATCTGAAGACACACAGAAAGAAGGCGGATTAATGACGTCTGCACAGTGGGGAGACAACTGCTACTCCCTCCCGTGCAGCTGTGGACACGAGAAGCATGGGATCGTGTCCACACCACTCCCCGTGCCGCCTCCCCTCTGCGCTGTGCTCCCACCTCCTCTCTAGGCTCCAACCCTGGTGACTTATTCTTGTCTGGCTCACTGATGTCCTCTGCACTATAAATGATTTGATACTAAACCCTTACAGTCTTTATTTCTAGACATCCTGTTTGGTTCTCTGCTGAAAATGTCTTTCAAGAACGAAGAGGAAATAAAGACATTTTTAGGAAAACAAAAACTGTAGAGTTGGTCATTGGCAGTCCTTTACTAGAGATACTTCTAAATAACATGCAGAAGAAGTGATTCCAAGTGGAAGAACTGAGATTCAAGAGAGAATGAGGAGCAAATAGAAACGATGGTTGTTTGTAAGAATGATAGGACCAGTGGCTGATGGAGTAAAATCAAGGTCGAGTTGCGTAAGACGTGACAGTAGCATGTGAGTCGAGAAGGAGGTGAGCGGAGGCAGGTTCACTTCGAGGGCTTTGCCACAGCTGGGTTTGGGGGAGGCTTCATCCACTGCAGATTTGAATGAGTGCAGTCTACAGCCTCTGAGCAGCCAGTAGGGAATAGAAACAGCACATACAGCTTCTAGAGTAGTGGGGAAAGTGGTGGGGCTCCCTTCATTCCGACAAAGAAACTTTGAGCAGCTCTTGTGCTGGTGGCACAGTGAGTGCTTCCCTGCGGAACTGGAGGGCAGGGCTGTCTGCTCTGGGTGCTCCTGCTCAGGGCCGTGCCGAGGGCCATGGCGCCGGTGGCAGCCAGGTTAGAGAATCGGAAGACTGGGGAAGGAGGTAAAAGAATCTGAACAGAAGGAACACAACTTGTTACTCATTGATAATGCGATTATATGTGTAGAAAGCCCCAAACACTCTAATGATAACCTGATAAAATTAATAATCACGTGGGAAGTTACTGGGTACAGATTCAGCTTATAAAAATACTAATTATTGTATGCCATCAACAAATACATTGCAGTTAAAAACCTTACATGTAGTAGCATTGTGAGTAAAAAGTGCCCAGGAATGAATATAACAATAGATGTGGAACCTCTGTGGAGAATGCTCTAAATTTTTAGAGAAATTGAAGAAGGCTTGAGTAAAGAGACAGATATGCCCTGGTTTTATTTAATTTAAAAAAATATTTTATTTATTTATCTTTAGAGGGGAAGGGAAGGAGAGAGGGAGAGAATATCAAGGTGTGGTTGCACCCCGTGGGTCCCCGGCTGGGAACTGGCCTGCAGCCCAGGCATGTGCCCTGACTGGGAATTGAACCGCAATCCTCTGGTTCGCAGGCCCGAGCTCAATCCACTGAGCTACACCAGCCAGGGCTATGCCCTGGTTTTAGATTGGAAAACTTAATATTTTGCAAGTGCCAGTTCTCCCAAAACTGATCTAGAAACTCATGATTTCAGTCCAAAAACTCGAGATGTGTGTGGGCTCGGGAGGGTGGAATTGATAAGCTGACTTTAAAACTATCTGAAAATGAAAGGGTCCACGAAAATTTAGGACCTTTTTGAAGAATTACAGTGTGTTCTGTGGGTGGAAGACCTTGCCAAGGCGGCGTTTTGGAAGCCTGGAAAGCTGGTGTGCTCGGTGTCAGCAGGGTGCCCGCAGTCTGGAGCTGCCCGGGTCGGCTCTTCTCTCCTTATTAACTGCATGCCCTTTCCTCACGAGTCCCTGTGGGAGTCTCATCCTGCTGTTTTGGGGAGGATGACCATTCTTGTTTCGTTTCTGTGTGTGTTTTGTTGCTGCTGTTGGAGTTGCTCACATTTCCCCCAACGTACATCTCGGCCAGGGGACGGCGTCTGCCGACGGCGAGTGAGTGGAGGGAGCACCAGGCCCGCCCGGCACGCCCAGCGCGGGGACTCCTCACGCGGGCACTCACAGCACGCGGCCTGCCCAGGCCTCATGGCCTTCTCCCCTCTTGCTGTGCTTAAGATGAGCGGCCACTGGACGCGTGTTAAAACTCAAGTTACCAGGGGAGGGAGTGACCCTCGTTGAACATGAGACACGTGTCAGTGATGTCACACTTCTTCTTTCACTCATTCAGTGTATTTAAGGGTTGGCCGAGCGCTCATTAGATGCCTAGTGTATTTTTCTTTAAAGATTTTATTTTTTTTTCAGAGGGAGGGTGAGGGAGGGAGAAAGAGGGAGAGAAACATCAGTGTGCAGTTGCCTCTCGCACACCCCCAGCTGGGGACCCTGCCCGCAACCCAGGCCTGTGCCCTGACTGGGAATCTAACCAGTGACCTTCTGGTTCTCAGGTGGTGCTCAATCCACTGAACCACACAAGCCAGGGTGACGCTTGGTGTATTACCTAACTCCTCTGTCATCTTTTGAAGAAAACATGATCATTTCCTAGGTGAAAAAGATAAAGCTCAGGGAGGTTAAGAACCTTGCTCAGATTATATTAGGGTGCAGACTGAGCTGTGCAGCAGTGGTCCCAAAGAGCAGTGGCTGAAACGAGGTGGGCACGTTTCCCTCTGAGCAGCAGTCTGGTTCTGTGTGGCCGCCTGCCTCCACCTCTGGCTCTCAGTTGTGGGGTCCGAAGGGTTGCTCTGCCTCTCGCCATCTCCCAGGGGGCAGAAGGGCCAGAGGGACCCAGGAGCTCACACCCAGTAAGGCCTGAGGTTCCACCGTCTCTTCTGTGCTCATCCCTGCCCCAGAGCTGAGTCACCTCACTGTAGCTGGCTGTGAGGGGAGGTGGGACAGATACGGTGAAGGAGGTAGCCAGGTGCCCACCTAGACCTCTGTGCTGTTGAGGGGACAGTGAAAATTGGGTTCAACTGGACTCTCACACCTGTCGAGTCACACAGACAGGAGCTGTGACCCTGGCCCTGTGCTATTGTCTGCTTGGCTCCTTGCCCTGCTTGTCCACTGCACTCCCTGGGCGTCTCAGGAACAGCCAGCCTTTCGGAACTCGTAGTGAGTTCGTTGACTGGTTGATTTGGTAAGCTTACGGGGAGGGTGCCCACTGCACGTGCAGCCTGGAGCTGTGGGCTGGGATGTAAAGGGCCTGTGGGGTGCAGCCCGGCCCTAGAGGAGCTCATAGTGTGTGCTGGGGCCCTGCAGGTGGAGCGAGGGTGAGGGCGTGGGTGAGGCTTGTAGGTGGTTCAGGCTGGCTTTGAATGCATGAGCATAGGCTCGCGTGAACTACTGTCCTTATAATCATTTTAATTCACCGTTTTAATTCTGTCTGGTTATTTCTTCTTTTCACTTTTGATTTTGGATTTTTATTCATCTGTTTCAGTTAGGCCATTTTTGTTGCCGCCCCGCCCATTTAGACATGGTCTCTCTGTTGATCAGCTGATTGTACAGACACTGACTGCCCTCCGTGGACTCCCATCTCCATTTTTTCCAGGCCACGTAGAATCCCAGTGGTGTGTGGGTGAATGTTTGACCACTGGCTCTTTGGGAGAGTCAGAGAGCCTCCTGGTTTGTAGCGTTTGTCTATTTCTAGTGCAGACAGTTCCGTCGTGTTCGATTTAAGCCGCCATTGAAGGTGGGCTTGGGAGAGGCGTGCCCTCTGCTCTTGGGAGCTGCGCGCGCCGCTCCAGCCCCCACAGAGCCTGTTCTCTGGTGCAGGGCCCCTTGTGTCTTTCCTTCTCTCTTTTGCAGTCAGGCTTTGTGCGGATGACAAGTGTGGGCCACTGTTCTTTGCTCTTTAAGTGGGTTTCACAGCAGCTCTGCAAGACAGGGATGCTCAGTGTTCCCAGTGTATATATAGGTGAGGAAACCAAGGTGCCAGAGGTCATTACTGGCTTCAGGTCCCACTGCACTGCAGATCCAGAACTTTGATTGTAAGTCCTTCAGATTCTATTTTCTCTTAGCAACAGTCTGCACCTCAGGGTGTTCTGTTGTGAAGGGCTCTGTTTGGAGCTGATGGCCATATGGCAGCATTTCTCTTCAGAACCCACCTTCTGTCTGATGATCATGCTAACCGGAAAAGCTAAATAGAGAAGCAGAACTTCAGGTTCCATTTGGTGGCTGTTGGATCGGCATCTGAGAGGTGTTGGTGA